GGGGAAGGGACCTCTGAAGGCCATCTAGTCCAGCTCCCCCACAATGAACAGAGACACCACAGCTAGATCAGGTTGCCCAGGGCCTGATGCAGCCTCACTAAAATGTCTACAGGGACAGGGCATCAACCACATTGCTGGGCAACCTGTTCCAGTGCCTCACCACCCTCACTGTAAAAGGTTTTTTCCTTATATCTAATCTAAATCTTCCCTCTTTGAGCTTGAAATCTCTAGTTCCCTCGCCACAGAACCTGCTAAAGAGTCTGTCCTCTTCTCTCCTGTAGGTTCCCTTCAGGTACACTGACAGGATGCTATCAATCAGGTCACCTCACAGCCGGGCTGAGCAGACCCAGCTCTCTCAACTGCCATTTACATGTGTTATTAACAGGAAAATATTTTGTATTACCCTAGCTACAGTGTGAATTGGAAAATATCATAGCTTATAAGAGAAACTTGGGAGACCTCTGAGACCTCAAGGACATATTGAGGGCTGAAATCCCATCTATTCAGTGCTGCTTCTCCAAAATTTACAACTTAATTTGGGCAGGGAGACTGGCTCCAAAGAACAGTGTTTGGTAAGATGTCTGGTCTCAGTGATGTCCATGTAATCCCTGGCCAAGCAGCAATATCTCTAGATGCTGAGAGTGTTGAGGGTGGTCGAAGGAAGGAAGGAAGGAAGGGAGGAAGGGAGGAAGGGAGGAAGGGAGGAAGGGAGGAAGGGAGGAAGGGAGGAAGGGAGGAAGGGAGGAAGGGAGGAAGGGAGGAAGGGAGGAAGGGAGGAAGGGAGGAAGGGAGGAAGGGAGGAAGGAAGGAAGGAAGGAAGGAAGGAAGGAAGGAAGGAAGGAAGGAAGGAAGGAAGGAAGGAAGGAAGGAAGGAAGGAAGGAAGGAAGGAAGGAAGGAAGGAAGGAAGCGAGGGAGGGAGGGAGGGAAGGAGGGAGGGAGGGAGGGAAGGAGGGAGGGAGGAAAGGGATTAAAAATAGCTTTTCCTATTATTTGCTACCACTGTCTCTGGATTTTCTGCTCAGCCCACTTTTTGCTCCCAGCTAGGCACAACAGATGAGGTCCTATGTTCCAGTGAGCCATGATAGGTGGGTTCTGATGAATGATATGATGTAAGTGATGATACTCAGCATACATTCCTCAAAAGGAGAGCCTCAGCCTTACAGAAAGGAGCTGAAAGAAGATTGATGAAAAACCCTCCTGTAAATATTCAGGCACTGAATTTCTTTTATGAAAGAGTCATACATTTTTATGATGCCACTATAATTTTATTACACCCACTATAGTTCAAGTCTGCTTTCCAGAGAGATGAGGCTCATGGGTTTTGCAGCCCTGTGCATGTCAGCTCTGAAGGGCTCCACTGAGCAATCCTTAGAAACCATAGTAATCAGTATGTGTTGTTCAAAGCCCTAAAAGTACAGCCAAGTTCAGAAAGTGAAGGCTACTATGGGCACCACATAGCTCTAGCACTTGCAGCAGAGAAGTCTGAGTGTAACAGAAATGAAACAAATTGAAAGCACTGTGATGGCAGGTATGTGTCGGCTATCATCTCCAAAGCTGTGGTACTGTCAGAATGCTGAAACCAGAGTTACCCAATTTTCCACCTTGTAGGAAATCCTTTTTTATGCATCCTTTCTATTGTTATTATTGTTATTTTATCAGTGCTTGACTTCTTTTTGTCTGAGACAGAACTTTATCATCTTCCTTCTCAGAGAGTGATGAAAAAGGCTGGGATCTTACATCTGAAGTGCATCTGTGCACAGGTTCTGCTGAAAGATGAGGGTATCACCATCTAGCTTTCATCACTGTTATGACTGCATACCGTGCCACTGCTCTGCCTGGCACCACCTGTCAGCAGCCAAGTGATGCTCTGAGAGCTTTGACAGATGTCTGAACACTCGTGCACTACTCAATAGAGGCCTTGGGGCGCTGCCAGGAAGCACTCACCATGCCTGCACCCTGCTGGACATGAGTTCTCCCCAAGACTCATCAGGCAGAATTTGGAAAAGCATTAGGAGGCCAGGAACATACGTCCTGTCTTCAGAAAGGCCTTACCAACACTGGCACTGAAGAAACTGCCTTATAATTGCATCAGAGGTTGCAGACCTGGATCAGGTCACAGAAGGCTGCACTTTTATGTGTGTAACTCAGGCTGCTTGAATCACCACCACTGTAGATATTGCTTCATTAAATTGCAAACACAGAAGATGTCTAGCATGAAAATCAAAGCCCTCTTCCTTCACAGGTACCTTTTGCCTTCATCTTTCTGTAGGTCAGAGGGTTTATTTTCAGGGAGCACTTTTCGGTGGGTGTGAGCTCTGTGTGTGAACAGACAGTGCCTAAATGCCTCAGCAGTGCTGGCTGAGAAAGTTGTGTGCTGACACCATGCTCCTTACAAAACCCGGAACAACCGTATAGCATGGCCATCTACACAGGCAGAAGCTCTTCCTCCTAAATGTCTGTCACTGAGATGATATACCATACAGGAAAAACAAATTGCCATGGCTTGCCAAAACCGTCACACCCCCTACTTCTGCCCAGACTGGCAGTATCTGATGGTGTGTAGCTACTCATTGCCAGATCTTTTAAGTTTAAATGCACACACCACTAGATGTCTGGATACTTAATGCTCTGCTCCATGAGGAGGCCAGGAGCTGTAGTGCATGTTGCCAGGGAGAGAAGGAGCAGAGTGCAGCCAATAAAGCTGGACACCAAAATTGCTGAGCTCTCAAATATGAGTTTTCCTTAAATCTCAGCTTCTTTCCCCTGGAGCAAGGGCAGTTCCCATGAGCAGACATTGACAGGTGTACGTTGCCAAGGCCCAGATGCACAGAGACCTTATTCCACATGCAGATGAATGGCATCGCCTTGTGTCACCGGATTAACTACCCCACATCTGGCAGCATCCTTCCTCCTCAACACTGCAGGCTTCTGCCTGCTTTTCCCTGGGTATAAATCCAAGGCAGGATTCCCCCCTGTCCTATTCTGCTTGTCATTTTGCATGAATAATAAAAATTCTTGTATTTGCAAGCACAGAAGAAGCTCTGAGGTGACATACAGGATTTCATCTCTTCTGTGTACACATAGGATTTTGTCTCTTCTGTGTATAATTTCTTCGCAGCTGTCAGAGGAGCAGCAATAATGCCATGTACTGCCAGTCTCCAGTGTGTATTCTCCTCCAGGTATCTGCCGGAATTTGTCTCCTAGAACAAAATGCCTGCATATAAATAGGCCTATCTTCTTATACATAGCCAAGGGGTTTTTCTTATTATTTCTTATTTTTCTCCCTATTATTCTGAGAACTAAGCAATTAGCATAAGCTGTAATGTAAATCACTAGACTACTCTAAGAAGAAATCATGTGACCCTTTCCAGGGATGGCAGCCAAGCCCTGCTTCTCTTTGGAGTGTATCACAAAATAAACCAGCTCCTTACAGACTGTCTTTACCTGTCCGTACGTTACTTATCTTCCCCTTCATCCCAGGCCCTCTGCATTTTCTTTGCACTTGTCACTGAAACAATTGCAGGGCCTCTGGAATGGTGCCTCTGCCCCTCAGAGGTTGTGCTGAAGGGCAGCACCACTGTGGGCAGCACACAGCTATTTAATTGGTGGAATCTGCCAGGTGGTGGAAACCCATCTGCAGAACATTCCATGGAGCGATTTTCCTCTGTCCCACACCCATGTTGTCACTCAGCTCTTGCTGTCATGCACTGAGGTCTCAGCCCCAGCATAAACATGTTGGTTACCTGAATGATTTTAATTTTTTTTGTTTTGTTTTTTGTTTTGTTTTGTTTTTTTCTCAGGCTTTTATATCTGAATTCACCCTCCTCTAACACAGCCATCATCCCATCAACAGCAGCTCTTCCATGGAGCTTTGGAACTTCCATGGAGCTGTCAAAGCTTTGTTTTGTTTTTCCATTTGGAGTGCTTCTCTTTTAGAGAGGTTTATTTGCTTTAATGTTCTGCTCTACTAATTTTAAATCCCGGGTTTGAGTGTTCCAACCTGGGAAACACTTGTCTTAAAATAATTTCATCCTTGCAGGCACATTTGATTTTATTCTAGATCAATCTTAAAATGAAATTTTATGGAGAACAGATTAAGAACAGAATATTATTGAACAGAAGGATGCGGAGCTGATGGAGAAAGTCCAGAGGAAGGCCACAAGGAGGATTGGAGGGCTGGAACACCTCTCCTATGAGGAAAACAGGCTGAGGGATCTGGGCTTGTTCAGTCAGGAGAAAAGAAGGCTCTGGGGAAACATCATTGAGGTCTTCCAGTGCTTGAAGGGAGCTTACAGGAGGAGGACTGACATTTTTCACTGTCTGACAGTGACAGGACAAGGAGGGATGGTTTTAAACCAAAAGAGGGGAGATTTAGCTGAGACGTTAGAAAGAAATTTCACTCAGAGGGCGGTGAGGCCCTGGCACAGCTGCCCAGAGAAGCTGCAGGTGCTCATCCCTGCAGGTGTTCCAGGCCAAGTTGGATGGGCCCTGTTCTAACCTGACCTGCTGGGCAGCAGCATGGGGATCAGGGCTGGGTGGGCTCTGAGGTCTCTTCCAACCCGACCGTTCTGTCGTTCTACGATTCTAGGAATTTCTCCTGTGCCTCAGAACCATTTTAACCAGACCAGATTCCAGAAAATACCTGACTTCCAAAACGTTCTGAGTTTATATGCTTTATCTCATGCTGCAGTGCGATTAAATAAGCACACAGTTAAAGTCAAGCTTGTTTTTATGCACATTCCTAAGCAGGGAAAGACGTAAGCAATTGTTTAATTTTTCCCCTGTAACACGACCCCAGGAGTAAAGCAGGGCACGGCAGCAGCTATTTCTTGCTGAGCCTATTTGCACTCTGCTAATTGGAATGCTTCACAGGTGCACAGGAACTTCCCACTACGATGACACTCATACGTGAGAACTGTGAGAGGGCTGTGAGGCTTTTCACACGAATGGACCTCAGAATTCCAAGTAAGTTGCCTTCATTTGATTAAACAAAGCAGTCAACTTTGCAGAAGACAGTTTATTAAATATATGAGTATTGGTCGCTACACCTAGTTACAGACAAAATACTGTGAATAAAGCATGCACTTACCACAGACATCAATGACTATCTTGATTATCTCTGAAATGATTTTTAATTCTGTAAGTTTAAGGCTGTACCAACGCAAATATTAAAAAACAGAAATAAAAAGTCACACTACAACAGTGGCAAATGTCGTGTGGACAGTGAAATCAACCTCTAACACAGCAGAACCAGACATGTTAAGGATTATTACAGGGAGATAAAAACAGAGTGTGATAAAGATCAGAGTGTCTTTGGAAGTTGCAGATTGGTGAAAGTGAATATTCCAATTAACACAACAGTGAACTCATGCTTCATCAATGCCCAATTATTGGATAAGTGAGCAGGGGATGAAATCCAGACCATTAAAAAAAAAAAAAAAAAGACCTTTTGATTTTACTGTCTTCTTATTTAATAAACTTTTATACACAATCACCCCAAAGAAGCATTTTTCAGGGAAGCCAAGGAGGCACCTGGCTGAAGTGTGGTGCAACAGATGGCAATAAAGCATCTCTTTTCTCCACCCCCAGTGAAGAGGAGTGGAGCACTTTGAAGTGAGGGAAAAAAGTACAGCTGGCACAAAAGTGTCATAAGACACAGATGATGATGTTGTTCTCAAGGATCTTAACCAATGTGAAGTTTGCTTCTTAGAAATCTGCTGCAGAAAGAGCAACATGGCATCCACATGAGTTAAAACCTATCCAGCCATCAAGTAAAAGGGTTGGCAGACCTGGGAACGCAGCTGGGGACCTGGCGCTGAAGAAGGCTGTGGAATCTTTCCTCATTTACCAGTGCAGACTTTTTCTTCATTTATTTATTTTTCCAGGTCTCTTGTTCTTTTTCAGATCCAGAATGAACCAGGTCTGAAGTTGAACAGGTAGCTCTGAGGGTTGACAATTTTCCTGATGTCTTCCGAAAAAAAATCCAGTAAACCTTCTCTCTCTCTCTCTCAGATATCCTGGATTTGCAAAGCCTAATTAATTAAAATATACTAAAATCTTCCTTCTCCCTAACAAATGTACAAATATATAAATTCCGAAATGCAGAGGCAAGATGTCAGTGTGAGAAGGTCCCACAGAAAAACTTCATTTTTAGTGTTAGAAATGTATCACTGCTCATGTTAACGTCTCTGCCTAATATAGTGGATTACAACTGGGGCTTGCAAAGGGGTCCAAAGAAACCTAAGTTAGCCTCAAAATTCCAGTGGGATGTGGATGGATAAATTCTCTCTTGTCTCCTTTCAGCAGCACAGACAGAAATGCAATAGGGTTTTATTTTATTATTTAATAATAATAATAATAAAAATCAAAAAGCTTTTCCTGCACCACAGTGCACTTAGGTCAAAACACAATTACAGGAGCTTACAACATGTACACAGAAGGCATCACACTGATGGGGCAGTGGCATCAAATCCACTACAGCATTAACATCAGCCCATTTGCTTCTTGAAACCAGAGAGCTGTGGTGAAAAATGAACAAACGCCAGGAAAACTTCTCACACACTGCAGGCTGCAGGCTGAAACCTAACGCCACGTCTGCATCTGTAAAACAACTGGATTTCTGGCATGCAAAGAGCTAACTAAACAGTGCTGTTTGCTTTTCTGATTCAAATCTAAGCTGAAGGCAGTGTAGATGCATCTGCAGTCAAAGTGAAGATGGGAATATACAACTGTAGTTCTGCAAGAACCTGACACACCTTTTGGCAGGTTGGGTCAGTGTGTGGGAAGGAGCTCTAAGGACCAATTACCAATTACAGGATCACAGAATCACAGGATTATAGGGGTTGGAAGGGACTTATGGAGATCCTTCACTCCAAAGCAGGTTCCCTACAGTAGGTTGCAATTGCTAAGTCAATTTCTGCAATTAGTTGGACTGGAAGACTAAGACCTAGCTAAAAAGACAAAAAATGCAAGGAATAAGACTCTCTGCCACTGCCTTGCATACCTAATATCAGGCCTATGCAGGCAGGAGTTCTGTGGAGCAGAAACTCCTCACTGCACTGGCGCAGATGTGTTCATGTGTACATAGCCACTAGAGACCAAAAACAACAGAGAAACTCATTGCAGCTGGTCTCAGCTGGCATCAGAAAGCAGCTGAATATGGTTTAGAGGAGGGTTGCTAGAGTTAGGGTAGTACGGTTATGTTGCAGATGGACTTCATGTTCTTTAAGGTCTTCTCCAACCTGAGCGATTCTATGATTCTATAATTCTAAGAAGAAGCCATTGGATTTTAGAGCAATAAAATGGCCCTTTATTTCTGAGGACAGCCTTATTCCATCCACGAGATGGGAACTGAAATACTGCAAAAGGCCTCAAGCACCCTTATCACTTTTGGACGGTTGAGATTTCAGAAATGTTCTAGGAATGTTTAGAACAACTCAGTGGGAAGGGGCCTTCACTCAACATCAATTGCTAATCAACAGTCACAGCAGTCACTGAGCACACTGCCCAAACCCCCCATGGCCACTGACAGCTGTGTCACCTCTAGGAAGCCTGTTCCACAGTTGGACTGCCCTCATGGTGAAGGAATGCTTCCCGATGCCCCGTCTCATCCTCCCCAGGTGCAGCTCTGTGCCACTCCTTTGCGTTCTGTCCCACCAGGGGGCTCAGCCCAGCATGTCCCTTTGCTCCCCCTCAGGGAGCTGCAGAGCAGTGACCACTTTTCTGCCACCTCCACACACGATAACCCAGGCCTGCCCACCTCTCCTCACACAGTGCCACACATGCCTTCTACCAAACCTTCTACCTTTTTTTCTGCCTTCTAGCTTTTTTTTTTGCTGTCTTTCAGACTGTTTCATGGACCTTAACAATTTCTTTTTGTAGAGCCCAGAAATGAACACAGTATTTGAGGCAAGACTGCACCTTGAATCCATTGGTCTGTGGGAGAGGACTACTGCATGGACAGACTTCCAGGGTGGTCCAGCCTGCACCTTGCAATACTGCTTTTTGTAAATGTTCCAGGTGCGACAAAAAGGAATGGCAATTTTGAAGATTGTGATGTAAACTATTTTGGGAGAAGCACTTTGCACACCAAGGGCTACAAACTGCCTTGTACAGAGGTGCAGAGATGGCTTCAGAGCAGCAGGAATGAATTCAATTCTCTGTTATTGTCCCAGTCACACAGGTTTTTGGTTTTTTTTTTTTTTTTTTTTTTCTGGTATTCTGATTTGAAAACCTTTTCAGGATGTTTAGCAGATTTTCACCTGTCAGCAGAGATCATGAAACAATGGCTATAGCCCTTCATTGTTTGCACATAAGATGGTACTTTCAGAGCAGACCAGGTGCAGCTGACTGTGCCTGGTGGCAGGGATCTGTGACAGATCACGCTTTTACCCACAGCTTGTTTCTGTTGTACAAATACAATATGGTATGATTTCAGCCTGTCAAAATCCTAGCTAAGTCAAAATTAATTCTGGGTATGTGTGTATCTGCTATACTGCCAGATTCTAAGGGGAAGGTGGAAAAGGAGCTGAAAATGCTGTGTCAGAATTTTGATAAACAGGGCCCGCCTGCCATGAAAGCAATTGGAAAGAACGAGACCAAAAATCTCAGGCTTGAATTTCATCCAAGGCTCATTTGGCAGCAAAGCGTGGCTTCAGCGGAGGTGGGAAAGTGACTGGAATCCACCACTTGACCAGGCTGACACTTGTTTACAGGAGCAGGCTCACAGCTGCTAGGAGAGCTGGCAGTTTCTTACAGTAGTCAGAGGATTGCTTTCATTAGTAGGCATTTTTAGCAAACTCCACAACAGCTCTCACAGGCTTGGCTGATCACTGGATCAGCTATCCACAGGAATGTCTTACCCCTCACGTTCACAGCTGGCATACGGCTGCGGGAGCCTTTAGCTTCATCAAGGCAGTTGGTTGGGCATCTTAATTTTTTTATTCCAAATTAAAATTGATGAGAAGACACCTCAAAGAAAGATGGAGAATTCAAGATTTTCTTTAATACTTTTTTTTGTTTGTTTGTTCTTTAAGGATCAAGCTGATAAGTGGTCACCTGTTCAGAAGACATGAAACGTTCAGCACCTCCTGCCTACTGCAACATGTTGGTTCCTTCTCCAGAAGGCACTGAACATTGGCTTAACACAGGAAACAACGTCAGAACGCAGAGATTTACTGTGACATACAGAAATACCTGCTGACTGGCAGGGCTTCTCATACAGCTCTCAGTTTTTCAGTGGCTCTGATCACAGCAGCAATGGTTAGCATTTCTACAAGTACCACATAAACATACGGATGTCAGAACGTCCAGAAAACATGCAAAATTTCAACAGCAACACCACTGAATGATACAGTGCATAGAAATATTATTGTTTGGCAGAACAGTGAATCTTTTAACACCCTTTTTATATAAAACAAAAGAATGTACTTTTTTTACAAACTGTTCTTAAAAAAGTTGAGTTTAGGCAGAGTTAGAAAAGTTGGCACGTGAAAGTTAGCCTCAGACACAGGTTTAACTCTGAGAATCAATTGGTCACTTACAGGAATTCCCATGCTTTGCTAGCTGGTTATGTACTGCACTAGCTATGCCTAAGCAAAACGTGCTTTTGAAGTGCTATTTTGGGAGAGGCAGCCCTAATCTTGTCAATTTTCAGAATGGGAGAAACCACATTCATATTAAAAGATTAGAATGATTAAATATTGCATGTAGGGAAAGATAAAAGCTTTACTTTAACTGTTTTTCCCTAATGCTACTCAGCATAGCTGGGGTTGTCATAGCAAAAACATTTTTCAAAGGCAGAATTAAAGTCAGCAGATAATTAAAACAAATGGAAAAGATTTTCTAATTCCAGTGTAAAACAAAGTAGGATATTAAAGGATAGCTTAAAGACGAGGATTACGCTTGCCTTCTTTAGGGAAAAAAAAAAACCACAACTTTTATTGCATTTGCCAGGCTTTTCCACTGCCTTTCCACTGCCTTCACTATACTCAGACATTTTGCCATTTCTTTGTTTTATGTCTTGAATAACTTTGTCTGCCTAATAGGTCTCAAGATGACCCAGAGGTACGTGGGTCATGCAGGCACAGACAAGTTCAGACAACAAAGCAGTGGCTGGATGATGTCCTCTCCTTCAGGTTTCAGACCCATCTGTGACAACAAGGTGGGTAGAAACATGAAGCCCAGGGGTGCGTTCCTCACCGAGCTCTGCCCACCAGCAGCACTTGGGCTTGTGGGCACTGCCATCTACTTCTCCCTTCTCCCCCTGCCAGCTTGCAGACTCTTGTAACACATTCTATGTCACAATTTGCCTGTAAGTCTTGAGTGCTTCAGGTGTTTCTGCTCTGCATTTGACACCCAGCCTTGTGCGGAGCAGCCCAGCCTGGATGCAACGTAGCAGAAGGGAAGGAGGAATACTGGCAGGAGCAATGTGGCACTACTTGAGGCTGCGTGTGATTCAGGCCAGCTGAGAACACATTATAATGATGCAGAAGACAATCTCAGCAGGATCACAAGCCTTTACAAAGCAGATCAAATTCTAAGCCTGAGGAATATTGCAGAGTTTTCTCTGTTCACAAAAAGAACAGCTGAAATGGTGAAGATAGCGTCATTAAAATTAATGTTAAGAGTTTATTTTTTCTAGAGTAAGAATAATACAGTATTTTAAAGAACATTTTATATTTTCTTGATTCTTTTCCCCTTGCTTGGCAATTTCACAATTTGCATGATGCTTATGGACTGTACAGAACAGAGCTAGCCAAAATTCCCAAATGTAGCGTAAAAGTTAGCATCAGAGTTAGCATCTACCATACAAAATCCCAAACACTGTGAATAAATCTTCTATTAACTACAACAGATCAAATAAATCTGAAAGAGTACTAATTGTTTTCAGAGACCAGTGGCTGCTATGTAATGAGTGCTGAGCACCAGAATAAAAGAGAAAGTAGAAGTGTCTCAATCCCCTGGAAACAGTAGGTCCATTTCCAATGCACAGACATTTAATGGCATTTGTATTTAAAAAAAACAAAAACAAATTTTGTTCATAATACCAACCAACATTAAACAAAGTGAGAAAACAGAGAAAATAAATTTCTGACTTGAGACATAAACTCTAGAGACTGTTAAAACCCATCAGTTCATGGAACAAGTAAATTTTGTGCCAAACTGATTTTTTCCCCGTCAGATTAGGAGTTAAAGCTTTAGACATCCCCATTGCTTTGAATATACTCCAGTGAATGGCCATTGTCAGACTTTTCAATGAGCCCACAGACATCTCCAAGCTGTGGGGCTTTCCCACGCTGCGCTGCAGTCAGTGCCTCTCCACTGGATTCGGAAGAGTCGAGGTGCTGGCGGACAACATCAGCAGAGCCCCAGAGGCAGGATGGAACCAGCACTCGGTTTCACTGGTGGAGCTGGCAGCCATGCAGCCACACCATTTCTTGGGGCTTTGAGGAACCTGCCTTCCTCTGAAGGATCACTCCGTTGCCAGCTAACGTTATCCAGTAGAGCATCATGGAGAACCAGCCTCCACATTCCTGCTGGTGCTCAGCTTTCCAAAACCTACGCAGAGATACATCACAGCCCCATGTGCCAGCTGCATATGTCCATCCTGCACACAGGGACAGCACCATCGCCGAATTGTGCTTACGGCCTTCCCCTGCTCAGCATGCAGAAGCACAGTTGCCTTACCTGGCTGGCCCAGGGCTCTGATTTTTCAGAGAGGTGCTGTGACACCCACGCTGACCCTGCATAGGGCCATCAGACATGTGGGAGATACCGGATGATGTGCCAGTGCTCCTGGCTACAAAGCAGGCTCGGTGCATGGCGACCATCCCCAGAAAGTGCAGTCCCAGTTCTCCTGCTAGGAAGATAGCCATGCTTTATGCTGGACTGCCTTCTTTTCACACTCTTCCTCAGCAGAGCGTGCAGATTCAGCACTTACATGAAAGCATAGAAATAGAAGAAAATACATCCCCATTTTAAGAACAAGGACAGCAACTCACATTAGGCAAGACAACCATCTTGTTAACGCTAATGTTTAACAAAGAACCCTCATTAAAAAGTGCAGATCCACTGCCAGCCACACTTAGTAGTGTACAGCTGAATCCCCGCTAACCTAGCATGCATTGGCTCATTTCAGGCAAATCTAACCTCAGCGCTGCATCCCGTCAGTATTCCTCCTTCCCATACATTCAAATGGCCGTAGGGCGTCAAGGAGGTCCTGCTTTCCTGTTGCCCACTCTGCCTAAGACAAATTGATTTCCACTCTAGTGTCAGTCCAGGATGAACTGTGGAGGAGGATCAGTCATCTCTACTCAGTTTAAAGACATCATTGGAAGGCCAGGCAAAGGCACAAAACTGGCCCTCAACACATCACTGTGTTCTATTCTCCTTTTATGATTTGAAAGCACTCCCATAAAAAACAGAGAAGAAGGGAAAGGGAGAGTGTTGGGAGACAAGAGATGCAAGCCTGTGAGTGATCATGTATCCCACAGACCACATGCACTCAAAGCGAGGCAGCCTGCCCTGAGCACATTATCCCCAAAGCACAAGGGCACTTGATAGCAGGGAGGGAACTCTGTGCTGCCCTCCACAGAGCAGTCCCCTTCCCCTATGACAAACACCAGGAGAAAGGAACGTTAGAGGTACAAAGGGATGGAGAGAGGGATGCTGGGGATGGGGAAGACCAGTTGGTCAGCCATAGTCACTTGCAGCTGGTGGTGGGGAGGAATAACCAGCCCACACACCACGTCAGTCAATGTCAGTCAATGCACTTATGGGATGTCCTCAGGCAGGGAGACAAAAAAGGGGTAAATATGAGCTGGGAAGGGAAGAAATGTAGAATATACAGCATCTCAGTTCCCTTGGGGCTGCTGCAAGAACTGGGGCAGCCCAGGCTCTGCCATGACTCAACACCAATTCTTCCTGATCCATGTCTTCATATCACACATCACTTGCACAACCTGTCGTGGAAGACAGTCACAAACAGGCAAGAAGGGACAAACAGCAATAAAAGTTGCTGCTCAAATCTCATTTTCTACACTCCTTTCTAAGAGAAATAAGTGGGCAACTACACTGTAGATTGAATACTAGTGATGAGCAGCTTTTAAAAATAAAAATAGAAAATAGCTTGAAAGCATTGATATTCTTCACAAAGGAGAACGTGCACCACTACTTTCATTGTTAGACTGTCCTATACTCCAACGGCGTGGATGCTATCCCAGAATTACTGAACTGTGTAAATGAATAAGGTATGTACTGTTGTTTTAGATATGCTTCATAAATTAGTTAACTTAGTCTACAAGGTAGTTCAGAACAGTATTTCATTCTCCTTAAAATTAATAAAATTACTGTACTTAAAAACACATTTTGTTGCATAAATTTGTATTTGAAAATTTAACAGGCAGTTTGCAAAACCCAGATATTGAGAATGTCAGCTTCAACTACCATTATGAATAGAAACACCCTGTGCAAGCCTACAGTGCCACAAATACATGCACAAGTAATAGTTCAGAAGGCAACCAACAGCTGCAAACTACACAGAAGGTGCTCCCACTGCATTATCTCTGATGGGTTTCCAAAGCTGCAGTGCAGCCTTTAGACAGGGAACATCCTCCTCTGCCTCTCCCTCTGGAGCTGCAAATCAATTTTTGAGCAGAATCAAGTCAGTAATCTGGCAGAGAACTATCTCAATTTCCCCCTCTGCGCTATGTTTTATGCTGGGCTAGTGAGCTGATTGATGAGGTCCAATACCAGATCAGAGAAAGCTGAAAGTCAGGAAAACAGGAAAGGAAAAAGAGAGAAGAAAGAAGCACTGTCATCTGCCTGCAGGGGATCTCTGCAAGTGACCCACTCAGCCACCACACCTGGGCTATGCTGTATAGGAGCTGAATGGTGATCTGAGAGCTGGCCTCTTGATTCCATGGTAAGAAGTAGTGAAGTATCAAGAGCTATGGTAGGACTCACCAGGCCCTAGGCAGAGATGAAGGCTTGCAGATCAGATATTAGGAAGAATTCTTTACTCAAAAGGCAGTGAAGCCCTGGCACAGTTGCCCAGAGAAGCTGTGGTTGGCCAGGTTGGCTGGGAACTGGGGCAGCCTGATCTAGCAGTCATCAACCGTGCTCAAAGAAAGAGCACTGGATGAGATTATCTTTAAGGCTTCTTCCAAGTCAAGCTATTCTATGACTCTATGATTTTAAGAGTGCAGCACTACTCCCTGACCATCTCCCTATGGCTTTTTACTGGGGCAGATCCACACCATGATGGTAAGCATGAGACTTACTGGTGAGCAGGTTCTGACACCCTCAAAGCACTGGGAGATGACAGCAAGCAAATGGGTTGCCATCTGTCAGCAACAACATGGCAGCTGGGACACTACACTCCTGCCAAGCAGAAACAAAACCATGACCAGTGTTTTAAATCAGAAGTCTCCCTCCCAGTGGGTTAATGACACTCTCAATAGCTTAATACAGATCATAATTAATTAGGCTGTCATCACTCAATTCCTTGCGATTGTTTGCAAATGAAGACTGGGTAGTATGTGGTGCTAAATGCCATTCAAAGATAACGTACCTATTTTTGGAGTATGATACTCCTTCAGTATCATATTTTGGCCACATGTGCTTAACTGCTTCTACAAGTAGTCTATTTGGGGATGCCTGATCAGAATTTGCCAGGCAATCTGCCATCAGCATCACTGGGGGCTGGAGTTACTGCAGATGCCACAGAGCAGAGAAAACACAGCCCTGTAATGCTGAGGCTCCTACAATGAGAACACATAATTCACACCTTACCTCCTAACCAGACTTGCAACAGTTCCTGACATGCAACATTATCAGAGACATTGCCTTGGCACAGCAAGATACAAATCACCCTAAAACTGAAGACAGCAATTCTATATATGGACAGTGGAGCTGGAGACAAGATCAAGATCTGTGCTGGGGCTGAATTACAGTGTAGATGTGAATCAGAACATTGCAGACCATATGCAGCACTGCACATCTGCAGACAGTGATCTGCCTTCTCAAAGACAAGAAAATCACAGAATCATGGAATAACAAGGTTGGAAATGACCTATAAGATCATCTAGTCCAAAATGAGTGGGATTACCACAGTTATTAGTCCACACAAAACAGCCCACTGTGAAGCAATAAACCCTAACCAGAGAAATTGTTTATTACTACTAAATTTGGTTTCATGTTTTATGGGGTCTGAGAAGAAACAACAGACAGCCACATCATGGGGTAGTTACTTTTCTGTACAACCTCAAGGCAAGTCTTCCCAGCAAAGAGGGAAATGTGCTGTTCCACAAAGGCCATCAGGTACCTGGCTTTGTACTCTGGGAGAGGAAAGGAAGATGGGTCAGGTTCTGCAATAGTTAAGAGGTGAGCACAGGGGGAAGTTGAGAGCAAAACCCTTCCTAGCAGCTCCCTTGTGGAGCTCTACAGAACATCATGAATGAGTTCTTTAGCATGACACCCTAGCACTCACTGCATACAGAGATCAGTGACTTGAGTACTCAGCAGCAAACAGCAATGAAATCCTACAGAGAGCAACATCAGCCTTGCAAAATTATTTTCACTTGTATCACATGTAGAGCATTGCTATGAAAAGACAACTGGTTGGCCTCATGTGGAAGCAAAGCAGCAGATGTCTGTGTTTCCCTCTCCTTCATCTTTACCAGATTTGCCACGGCAAGGCAGTCACAGGCACTTGCAGTTACTTCAGAAGTGCCAACACTTTGTGTCAAGCCTCAGAACCAAGCCACAAAAGCACAGCTTTGCAATGTGAGTGCCTGTCACACCAATGCCTACCTTGCAGCACTAAGAGACAGCGCTCTCAGGGGTTGCAGATAAGATTATCCTGCCTTGGCGTGCCAGACCCTAGGGCAGCCAGCACACAGAGCACCAAGGCATGATAGTAGCTCTGCTGTGCAGAACAACGAGTGATCATTCAGGCTCTGTCACCTGCACGACGCTTCCTGGGAGGACAGATGTTCATTAAAGAGGAAACCTCTGCTCCCAAACCTTTTGTGGGACATCTGCTAATCACTCCCTGTCCAAAACAGACCTCCAGGATTAAGTGAGACACAGGTGTTCTGCCACTTCCTTCATACACAGGAATACACACCTCATCCCAGCAACAGCAAAAACAACTTTTAAATGGCCCCAGGTGGGATAATTTATTTCTTTCTGCTACTGTTGCACTTTTTTTTTTTTAAATTAGTGATGACTGAGTTTACTGCACAGTTGCAGAATTAAACTACATAAAAGAAAGGAAAGAATGTAAAGAAATAAAACCAATGAAGTTTAAAGAAGGACAAAAGCAAAAAGAAAAGTCCTCAGTATCAGTCTGATGGGATGTGAGCTGAGGCTGAATCTTTCATGGACTTTGGAGGACACCATACCACGTCAGGGACTTGTCCATAGACTTACCAAGTTGCTAAGGTATGCTAGTGGAACATTTCCATCTGTAACGCTGAATAAGCTAAGCTGAATTACTGCAGAGGTACCATACATCATTTTAAAAGTCAAGAATTGTAATGGTTCACTGACACACTTAATTTGTTAGTGTTTTCCCTGTACTCATAGAACAACTATGCTACAAAATCAAATACGGGAACAACACCATTCATTATTTCAAGTATTTAAAGGACCAAATTCTTCCCTAAGAATCACATACACAATTTCCATTGTCTGCAATGAAAACAGATTACACATAGGTGATTTTGATTTGTTTTCCAGTGCTTAAAACTACTCATCTTTTTAATCTTCTGTAGAAAATATGAAACTATCCCTATGTTATTTCTTGTGGAGTTTGAATAATGGCTTAGGACAGATTTGATGCATTTTATCTGAATGGTTTGGGATAAGATAATGAATTTTTCTGCACACCTACATCCCCAAGAGTAGTGAAAGAGTGGATAAAAGTCAGTAGATTTTACATTAAGAATACACAGCGACAAAACATTAATGATCAGTGCTTAGTTAAAATTATGTACACGACTGTTTTTGCCAACATACCTTTGCTTACCGTTGAAAACAATACTTTTCAGTCTAAAGACCAGTGATATTCTGATAACAGAAAAATCAACAAAAACAAAAGTTAAAAATAGCCTTTTGCTGACTTTGGGATTTTTTTTTCCATCTGGCAGAAATAAGCCTCAGGAAACAAACAAACAGCAACAACAACAACAAAAAAAAGACAACAAAACAAAAGAAAAAAACAACAGAGAAAACTTCTTGTAAATGGTTTCACAGACTTACATTGATGTATCTCTTATCTCCTTGTATTTCTGATCAAGAACAAGCCAGCAGGTAAGAAGCAGCAGCCAGTGGTAGATTTGCCTCCTCCACTCTAGGAGGCCATGTTAACATAAGAAGTCAAAAAAATGCTTTAAAATAGAATTGCTACGTAAGTCTCCCTGGGGAATTACAGTCACTGATGTGTGCATGTTAAAAAGGGTATTTCCAGTCTATCTTGTGTTGCCTGAGAACCATTTTTGTCCTTTTAAAATCTGCAATTATATTATAACCCACAAGTAACATTCATTTTTGTATTAACACTATAAATACTATGTTAGTATTACTAAACTATCTCTATTGACTTATCTGTAAAAAGAAAAATATATTATATATTTATATTTTTTTATAAAGTGAATCAACACTGGAGAGAGGGCTATGGGAGAGTAGTGTACAATCACAGTTGATGTGTATTATTGGGCACAAATTCAATACTTAAAACAAAACAGAAGAGAAAAATCTGTCCAAGTTATACCCCTCTTTCAAGCTGTGTCAGAGGAAGAGTCATAGGATGCTGACACTATGAAGTTGCCAGTATTGGTATGGCTTGCCATGGACTGGGCAGCCTGCTGGCTCAAGTTATTGCAGATCAGCACAAGCTGGTTGCTCTGAGCTTCTGACAATGTGCTACAGCTCTGGTAGACACTGAAGTTGGTCTTCCTGCCAGGGATGTTGCCCTTCTCGCACATTGTCTTTACCATCTTGGCAAGCTTATTTTTCCCCAGAGCTTGGCAATTGTACCAGTGAAGGGCAGCCAAGTTGACAACGGGTTTGATTGACAGGTAAAAAGGTGCATCCTCATAGCGCATGGCTGGAGGCCGCCTCTGGGCGTACTCCTTGTAGTCTTGCACAGGACAGGTCTGTGGGGAGTGCTGGGTGGCATACACCCGAGAGTCTGTCCCACCTCTCTTGCTCTTGGCATTGATATCTCCACTGTCTGGTCCCATCCACTCCAGGTACTCCAACCCCGTCTCTGTCACCCGCAGCCGGATGTCTCCCCATTTGAGGGTGGACCCATGAAAACCTGTGCAGTGTCCAAATGCCTTAGTGTTGTTCAGCCAGACAAGGTTCAAGAGCCCTTCAGGATTGTACCGGCTTAGCAAGCCTCTTTTGCGCAGGATAAGCTCGTCAGCAAAGGTGAGCTTCATGGACTTGTGTGGCTTGTTCCCTTTACCTTTACACCTCAGTTCTATCTGCTTCTGTTTTAGGGCTTCTTGGGACCTCTTGAACTCCTTATCCCTGGTAATACTGTATCCATACCTATGCTCCTTCAGATAACGCTCCAGCCCACACTGATAGTTGGCCAGGCTGTTTGGCTCGTATTCAGACCCATCCTTCTGCCTGGCATCCACAAAGAACGAAGCAAGGTACGCATCGAGCTCTTTGCAGGGGATGACGTAGATCTCTCGGGTCTCAGAGGGATACTTGGAGATGAGGAACTCGCGGAAATTGCGGAGAGCTGTCTGTGTGCTGCGAATGGTCTTCTCGTTCTGCTCCCTGCTGAGCTCTGCTGCTCTCTCATCCTGGTCTGGAAGAGGGAGAAGGAAAAAGACAACACAGAAAGAGCAGTTAGCTTGTGTGAAAGGTTTTTCCCAAAGCAAATTTCCTTTAAAAGAATGAACGAAAAGAAATGAAAGTGAATTTCACAAAGCACACTTGAAAACATCATTACATACTTGCCACATGACTGAAAAGTCAACTTCAGTTCTACAACTAGTGACTGGAATATGGCACAAAGTGAGCTCCTCATGACACTGGGATACAATTTTGTGCACAGAGATCTGTGGAAAGCTGTTTAATTAGAGGCAATCTGCTTTCCAGAACAAACACAAGGCATGGACTCCAGTGCCACATGCTGAGCCCAGTCTGAGTAATGAGCCCATTGTGAACTGACTCATTTGTGAAACAAGGGGCTGTATTTGTTCTAACATTTTTTCTACAAAGAATAACCAAAGCCTTAAATTTATGATACTATAATTATTTTTAATTAGACAAGTTTCTAAAGAGCCAATAAGTATAGACAGAAATGCACACTACAAAATAATGCAGCACATCCTAAGAAAGAAGTTAGCAGGTACAACACAGTGATGTGTAATTTACAAATATAAAAGAATAAAAAATAATGTAATACTTCACATTAGAAAATATCAAAACTGCCAGCACTTAACATGTTTTTACAGCTTCTTTACATAATCAAGCTGTACCTGGACAGATGTAGTGCAATCGTGAACATTTTTTTCTCATTTTGCAGAAAAAAAATCAAATTCAGGAAACAACTTTATATTGATCCATAAGGCTATATTCAAAGGTCCTTGCAAATGGTGACATATCAAGCCACAGCATCCAGATGTGACTCAAAAGATGATTCTTGATGACAATTTTCAGGCTGGTCATAAGGATAAAATGAAAAGCTTTTTACATGGAAGTGATGCATGTACTTACAGACTGTTTTCTTGGCATGTGGAAACTGTCTTTACAAGGATGCAATTTATAAGCACATAGGCAGAACTGTCATTATGGATAAGATAAGCCTTAATGGTTTTAGAAAATGATGAGCAGTATGTGTAAAGAAGGAAAATTCCAATGATTTGACTATTTTCTGTACTTGTAAATGACACATTCCTTTTTTCTCAGTTATCAAAAAGAGGGAAAAGGGAAAGACCTTTTTTGCTCTATCTCATTACAAAAATCACATACACTTTGTTGTCTCTTCTCTACTACACTTACAGCAACAGGGGATTTACCTGTTATCTCCCACCCTACATACACACCACAAAGTCATACCGGACCTGGCAAAATTCCCACCACCTCTCCGTTACGGGCCAAGCTCATGGGCAGCCATGCTCTGCATCAGTGCTTGTGTCTGCTCCTCCTGCCCACTCCGCCTTACCAGTCTGCTGAGAGGGCAAGCAGCAGGCAGAGGAAGGTGGCCCAGTCTCCATTGCTAATCTGGCTGAGATGTTTCTTGTGGTGCACAGACTTCGGCGTGTAGCTGGGCGGCTTCCCTTTCCATCCACCTAAAGCAACAGCATCCAGGCCTGCAGAGCATTTCCCTCCTCACCTCCATACAGACAGAGGCACTGAGAGTGGCTTGCAACCCTTGTCCTCTGTTCTCACTTGATAGGTGCCCAATGCACCCACAGCACTCAGTGAAACCTGCTGTGCTGGATCCTCAGGCCCTTGGCAAAGCACAGAGAACTGAAGGCCTGCAGCTGAGGCCTTTGGGGGTTTCTGCAGCCACATAAAATGTTGCCACCGAGGTTTGCTTTAACTGTGCTCAGGGAGAAAACGTAACCAGTCTATTTCAAAAACTGGCTTCAATTTTGGTGTCAGCACCAAAGAGCTACAAGCGGCCCTCACTGAAGTCTCATGCTTCAAGTAATGGATCCTTTTACAATGGCTAGCTGCAGCGGGAAATAAAGAGCTAAAGCTGTTTGAAATGCAGAAGCAAAACATTTACCTTAATACCTTGTTCACTGCACCCACCACCACTTACTACAGCACTGTGTAAGTAAGCTGTTCTTTGACTGACAGCCCACATTTTAAGTACTGTTGCAATATAAAAAGCACATACAATGGTTTGGTTATATACATGTCATCAATCACTCTTTCTTTCAGAATGCCCTGTCACAACACAGCAGTGACACTCAGTCATTTACATTTTGGCATCTTTCCTTAAACTGCAAAGGAAATTGCTGTAAATGCAGATAGCAATTATAAAACCCATGCTCAATAAAGATCTCCTGAAGTTGTACGAAAGACTGCATTCCTGCAGTGCTCTGATGTGTTATACCAAGGCAGGAGGGAAATCTTAAACAAAATAGGTCAGCTTATCTACCAGCCAAATCCGGAGAGCTAGGCCAGTTTTGACTGGGAATCTAGCCTGGAGTTCTGGTTAATTATTCTCTTTCTATGGGAGAGTTCAAATATCACAGATATCTCAAAGCATGGGACTCGTGCAGTGAAACAGTGAGACCCAGTGTGTCTGAGACAACCAAAGTTACCAGATGTCAAGTGAGCCACAGCCATGATCTGCATGTGCTTTTTATCTACAGCAAAAGCAGATGATTTTGATGAGCCTCACTTAACTAAGAAAATGTTTATAGCCTAGAACAGCTTAGGAAGGAGACATAACATGTCATCAAACTCCTACTTCCTTATTTAACCAAAGAGAAGTCATTGTACTGAAAGGCAATCTATTCCTAAACCATACAATCCAGCCACCACAGAGACTTAAATCCAAACACCCTTTTACTGTCACCAAACTGTGATTTTCACTAATTGCATTATTTCATTCTCTATTATTGTGGTGACTGACAGTGGTCAGCAATCACCACACAGTCACTTGCTCTCTCCCCACACTCAGCAGGGCAGAGCAGAGCAAAAAGAAGAAAACACCAGAGCTGAGGCAAATCTAAGTAAAGGAAAGAGAAAAGAAACAATCCAACATGCAATGCAAAGGCAATCACTCATCATCTCTCATAACGTTCAGTCAGATTCTAAGCAATGCCTACTTTCCACAGAAAAAAAAACCAGCCCTTTTTTACTGTTTATTGTTAAGCATGATGTAGTATGGCACGGAATATCCCTTTGGTCAGCCGGGGTCAGCCCCCTCCCAACCTCTTGCCAAACTCAGCCTAGTTGGTTGGGATAGAGGGTGGGAAAAAGAGAAAGCCTTAATGGTGTGCAATGCACAGCAACAGCCAAAATCTGTAGATCTGTAGTAGCCACAGATCCAAACTGCAGCACATTATGGGCAGCTGTGAGAGAGTTATCTCCATCCCAGTCAAACCCAGAACAGTGTGCCGTTTGGATCACTAATCAAATTATGGCACAGGATCAGGTTTATCTTGCTTCCCTTCCACACAACCTGTGACTGGACATGGAGACCATGAAAAATATCATCTGAGTGCAGTCTGCTAATGGCTCTTTCAAAATATTTACAATAAGCCCTTCTACTCTACAAACTTCTGATTTCCTATGGGAAATTTTGTGAAAGAGAACCAATGCCTTCTACACTGTGGATATTTGGCATTGTTTCTGCTCTACCAATGTACCAAGGGTGGTAGCATGTGAGAGGGAGATTAGGCTGTGTAATGCCATTTTGTTCCTTAAAAATCTATATGGATTGGTTGGTAAAGAAAGTCTAAATATAACGGAATTCATTTATTAAGAATTCAAGACTAAAAGGCATTTCAGCTGTTATCACAGTGAATTTTTTGAAAATACATAAACAGGGAGAACTGTTGAGGTACAGGGTCTCATCCATAGATATGGAGATTGAAAGTGAATACTCTTTCTGATAGAGAAGTATTTTCAGTAAAGCAGTGAAGCAAATGTTTGCTTGCTGCATCTTGCAGAATAGAGATGAAAAACTCATCTGGCCAACACTTAACCTTTTGGGAATTTACTGAAAACACAGGTGCAAATGTACAGTAGTCCCCTGATGACTGCAAAGTACACCTACTTGCTCTTAGGTGTCCACTGCTCACATTATCACAAACTCTTTATTGTGCACGGGTTCAAAAACTGGGTAAAAGTACAGAACACTGTTACAAAGTGCTTCTCAACACAAGACAGTATTTCCAAACTGGAAAGGTGCTTGAGCCGTAAATTGCTGGAGCATGGAACAATGGGAAGATATCACGTATGCTTTCACTCTTCTTGCATTCTTAGTTACATGCATGTTGTTAGGGTCTAGGGAAAACATATATTCTCATATTGTGATCTAATCTGTTTTGGCTAGTAAAACAGAACCAATGAACCGAACAAACTACCAAACCAAGCTAAACCAAATAGTTTTTCCTTGTAATAACAAAACTTTAGGAGTTGGTAGTGCTGTTCCCCATTATGCCGACCAGGAGCAGAAACTTACAAAACAAGGTAACTTGGAGATGCATCTCATGAGGTCCTGCCCACAGCTGCATAATACACAAAACATCTGTAATTCCTGTCTCACTCCACATCAGTGCTTCATTTCTGGAAAACCAGAACATCAGAAAAAGGCAGTAAATCTCACCTTATTGTTGGATTGGGGTAACCTCCCAGTTGAGAGTAAGAAGGACTGCTTGAGTAGTTTAAACTTTCAACTTAAAAGTAGACAAAGAGATAAAGTGACTTGGCAGAGATTACACAGATCCAGTGGGAGCTGAGTGCCTCTAGCTAGCCCACAACCATGAGACGATCCTTCCCACACAGCAACAGCTGCAGTCTGATCTTTCATAATCTGATCTTAGTACAGCCAAGACTTAATTAACATTATCAGCTGAGTTATCAAACACAGGGTTGTTTTTATTTCAGCTCACACACTTAGACAAATTCAGACTTACCAGAACATAACCTCCTTTGTAATTATGTACAGTGGGGGTAAAACACTTGCTTTTGTCCTTCACATCAGAATGATGCCTGTTAATATTCAGAGAGGATTTGTAACATCAGTGGGAGTTGTAAACCTGAGCTCTTTCTGCACTCAAATTCTGCGTAAGGATGTCAACAAGATCTCCAGTAAAAAAGTTTTTTTGGATGGCA